CAAAGAATGGCAAAATACTTTACAACAAGAAAATTCAAAGAACTAAAGTAAAAACAAATTACGAAATATTCGTTAATAAGAATTGTAATTATATAGAAAAATTAGAAAATGTAGACACTAAGAAAATTTATAACATATTTATTCAGAATGGGATTGAAATACCTGTTGGTTTCAACCGATGGAAAACAGTGTAAAACATTGAGTATATCAAGAGTTCAACATGTAATATATTAAAATTTATTCATCATTATTTCAAAGAAAATAAGTATTATGTGTTTTGTTGGGAATTGTTACACTTTATTCTACCTAGGTAAAACTTTATTAAAACAGTGGAATATATGCAATTCTTCAAATTGTCGTTATTGCAATACCACTGAGGATTATGATCACATGTTTCTTAGATATCATTTTCTATATGATTTCTGGAGTAAAATAAAAAAAATCTTCTTAAAAAACTGATTATTAATATTAGTTTCTTACATTGAAGAATTTAGTATGGGGTTATAAAATAAATGAAGAACAATATTATTAGATTTATTACTTGCTTACAATACCGATGTTTTGTATATACAAAGCCAATTACATGTCTGAACAGAAAACATAATCTATAAATGTATATGCTGTATTTAAAGCAGAATAAATTAATAGTTACAAACTACAGGCAAAGTGTAAGAATACAAATTATAAATGTATACTAGATAAAACTGCCAAATTGTTATAATAATTTCTTTGTATGAAAAGTATACGATCTAGCAAAAATAAATGAATTAATAAATTAATAGAATAGATAAATTTTATAAATTGCACATCTGGAATTGATTAAGTGATATAATTTTTACCTTACACCGCTCCATGTGATGATTGATAACGGGACTCTTTATCGTTAAAAATAGAAGATTACAAAATGAAAGATTTATAGAATCTTAATTTTCTTTAAACTACAAATATTTTTTTATTCAGACATACCTGTGAATAGGCTAAAGCACGTTTTTTTTAAAGTCAGCCGGTGAGACCATTTCTGTTTGAAAACAAGGAAGGTATTTGATAGTTCAAAAAAATTAACATGTTAACGGAAGAAATATAAAGATTATCCGGAAACAATACGCAAATAAATAGTAAATTGTTAAATAAATAAGTCTCATTGATATATATTTGTTTATTTAATTGCTGATAATGTTATTATTAAAATGTATTTCAAACTAACATATTTAATATTATGATACTTACCAGAAAACAACCCTGGATTCTGGTATTAACAAACAGGGACTCTTCACTGGAATGCTGGACTAATGAAGAACATTGTTAACAGCAGAAGTGCAATTTGTTGTCAAATAAAATAAAATGAAAACCAAAATGCAGAAATATGAGACAGCTATCTACCAGAGCTCAAATAAAGTGGACATAAGTAATTATAGGTCACAATTCGGCCTTCAACAAAGGAAAAACCCCATACCGTATAGTCGGCTATAAAAAAACTTCGACATGAAAAATGTGAAATAATTCAAACACCAAAGATCTTATTAATAACAATACAATTTACGAAAAACAATATGACAGACATGAACCTACTATTACCACTGAATTACAGACTCCCGACTATAGACAGACACACATATAATGTGAAAGTGTAAAACATGTTTGTGAGCGTTCAACCCTCCTACCTAATCTGGGACAGTGATGTAACAGCACAACATAAGATCAAACTGTTAACACCAGTTGCAATTGGCTTAACTCAAGAGATCGGTCCGAGGAACAAAATCAACTGATATAAAAACAATAACACAAAGCACCGATTAAGAGTACAGTGGTAGTCGTTGTTTCATGTCTGTCATATTTGTTTTTTGCAAATTGTATTGTTATGAATAATGACTATAGTTTTCATGTTTGAATTGTTTCTCATTTTTCATCCAGGTCTTTAATGGCTTATTATACGTTGTGCGATTTTTTTCGTTATTGAATGAAGGACGATGACCTATAACTGTTAATATCCACGTCATTTGAACTCTGGTAGATTCTAGTAGTTTCCTCATTAGCAATAATACCACAACTTCTTCTTTCGATATTGTTCTGTTATTCATTGAAACTGACGTCACTCCTGAGTTTTTTAACTTCAATGTTCCGCTATATACTAGCAGATGACGTCCACTGATCCATTTGAATTTGATCGTTCATTTAATTTGATATAAAGATAACCAGCTATATAGTAAAGTTACCAGGTGGATACGATACTGCAATGTTTGAGCCTAATTTGCGTTAAATTTGAGTTCCTTGGTAGAGCAGGGACAGGGCGACTGCTAACCATAAATCTACTCAACAAGGGATTAAAAAATATATCTCTCATACTTTGTTCTGATTCCTTGCCCGGCTTTGGCTATACTTTTTGTCCTTTTTGGTTTATAATCCCTCCATTTTTTTTGGATAAGTTTTTTGATTTTCAAATATTTTAGTCTCGAGCATCACTGAAAAGACATTTATTGTTGAAATGCGCATCTGGTGCAAACAAATAGGTACGTTAATGTTATGATATTTGAAAAATATTTCATCAAGATTTGTTACCGTTTTTGAAATATCTGTTTTACAGATGACAACAGACATAATGCACCGGTCGTAAACAAAATCTTGTCTTCTTTTCAACCGAAAAAGACTTTTCATCGAATTTTTACTCGGTTCACAAAATATACTACCGAATCTATAATGTTAACAACGTCATCGGGTTTTTCACTGTTTTATTTCAATCGTCCGAGTGGATTCAAAGGAAAATGTGTTCTTAAATTAATAAACATGGAGACTTTAAATCAAGTTTTGGTGTCAATATCAGAGGAATTTGTAAACCAAAACTCCTCAGAAATGGCACAAATCTTGTCATAGGTTTTTATTTTTGTTATGATTTTTGTCAGTTTGATATTTTGTAACATTTTTTGTTTGGTCTCCTTAATTTATTCATAGGTTGGTTTTTCTTACGATATGGACTTTTGGCTTTTGTCGAATAGTTGTTTCATATGTGGGGCTGGTGTGTATGTATCTAGTTTGATAACGTGTAGTTTTTATTGTTGGTTCGATGTATTTTTGACGATTTCTCCATATTTCGTTAATTCGTAGTATATATCAAGCGTACAACGCAAGTAATTTATTTTACAGTTTACCTTATTCACCTTTTACCAGAATCTCTGACAAACGAGACAATTGTAATTTTGAAATTATAAATTCCCCCCCCCCCCCCCTTTCCCCTTAGCAGCAATATAAAATTTAGAATGGAACTAGGGAATGTGTAAAAGAGACAACAACGCGACCAAAGAGCAGAAAACAGCCGGAGGCCAACAATGGGTCTTCAACAGAGCGAGAAAATCCCGCACCCGGAGGCGGGCTTCAGCTTGCCCCTAAACAAAAATGTGTACTAGTTCAAAGAAAATGGACGTAATATTAAACTCCAATACATATAAATGAACTAAAATTAAAATACATACAAGACTAACAAAGGCCAGAGGCTCCTGACTTGGGACAGGCGCAAAAGTGCGGCGGGGTTAAGCATGTTTTTTGATATCTCAACCCTCCCCCTATAACTCTAGCCAACGTAGAAAAACAAACACACAGCAATACGCACAGTAAAACTCAGTTTAAAAGAAGTCCGAGTTCGATGTCAGAATAAGTAACAAAAGAAACTAAGCAAAATGACAATGATACATAAATTATCAAAAGACTACTAGTAGTTACTGACATGCCAGATCCAGACCTCAATTAAACTGATTGAAAGGTTATGTCTTCATCATATGAAAATCAAGCACAATCCCTCCCGTTAGGTGTTAAGTATCATATCATCATAAAATATATGAGAAGAACATAACCCATATCATGCCAACAACTGGTTTTAGAATAAATGTGTTTATTTCCGATGCAAAGACCCTATGAGGTAATTAATATTAATACCAAAATATGCCATCTTTAATGACCAGACAACAGTATCGTAATTAACTATATCCCTTCTGAATAAGTCTGTTTAAAGGTTTGGTTAGCTTTTGAGGTGAATGTCGATATTTTTGTGCTTTGTATAGAATTTTACCATAAAAGATTGGATGTGAAATACCTGACCGTATAAGATGTCTGCATGTTGATTTATATTTACGAATGATGTCCTTGTACTGATGATAGAATTTAGTATATGTTTTGATTAGTTTGTGATATCGAAAACCCTGATGTAATATTTTTTCAGTAATACAGATACCTACTTCACCTGAATATAGGATATACGTTTCCCAACTCATTCGGTATTCAAGAGATTTCAGCTGATACTAAGACTTTATAAAACGTCACCAGTGTCTGAGTAGGAAGTTTGATGAAGCAGGGTTATGTCAAAAAACGTCTCGTCCTTTTTCTAAAACAGTTCATCGGAAGATACCAAGACCTTGTAGATAAATATTCCGTATCCCGTATCAACTTTAAAAATAATACATTATGGTCTTGAAGTATAGATTCTAGGTACTGACATTTTTTATTATCTAAATTACGTGTTATAGTGTTCTTTTCATTTGTATTTGTATATTTCTAAACCCTACTGTTTAGTCTATTTTTGGTAAAATACTTTTGGCGTGGCTCGGTATTTATACATCCCGCCCGCCATTGTGTTATTGTGCTATGGACTTTTTTGTGTTCTTGTCTTTCATTTTTGCTGATGTACTTTGTCTATAGAGTGTCTATACGCCATTTTTTTTTTTTTTTTTGTTGAAATAGTTATTTGTTTTTATAGTGATTAAGATTATAACACAATGTTGACTGCTGTACCTATAATGGAATTCTGTGCGACTGTAATACAAGTGAGATGTTTAGTTTGCTATAAAACCAGTTTTAATCCACCATTTTCTACATAAGGAAATGTCTGTGACAAGTCAGGAATATGACAGTTGTTTTCCATTCGTTTGAAGTGTTTGAGCTTTTGATTTTGCCATTTGATATAGGCATAGGACATATAAAATGGAAATGAATGATACCTTATCACTTTCATATGAAACTTTATTGGAACAATTTATTTAATGCAATAGCCGTCAAGGACGTTCTTCAAATGCTACTGAAAGTATACAATGTTGTTTACAAATTATTCTACTGTCGTTTTGCAAAAAAAACTTTAATTATTTGAGTTGTGGATGGAATCGACCAATAAACAAAATAAGACCAGATTTAATATCTCTAACATAAAATAAAAATGGTCTATTTGCAGTGAACCCCGACGGTATGCTCATTCTTAAACCAAACCTAGTTGCTGTAACAGCTGCTCCCTCTATACCTGCTTCGTTCATGTTGAAGACAGTCTTATGAACAGCAACTTTGACGTGTAAGCCTTGTGTTCTCTCAATAATTAAATTTGAAAAGTTAGCTTTATATCCAAAAATGTCTTTCACTCCAAGTTTAGGTAGTTCTTTTGTTAAATCAAACTCGGACTGCAACTTAAATTTTGGAATAGCAATTTTTAAAACTGATTGTTTAAATCCAGCAGAAATATCGTTTAGAAACTCAGGAGTTATCTTCTCTTCAATATTCGGGAGCCCATCCGTAGCATCTGGTAAAATGAAGACCATATCAAAGACTCTACCCCTGAATGGTAACGCTATAGCAGAGAAATGCAAACCTCGAAAAAAGAGGGGAAATACTAGCTCTTTTTGCATCATGTCAACTTTAATCTTTTTGTTGTTCGGGAGGTAAAAGTTTTGTTTTCTCGTGGAACTTGGAGAAAATGGCATCAACCACGTGGCTTTAAAATATATAGCATTTATAATGAACATTATAGTATTTGTGTCAAACCATTCTTCTTTAATCAAATCCTTTATTTTGCCGTTAGTCTGTTTTAACACCCATCTATTCATTTCAGATGCAGATGTTTTAGGTTTTGTAAAGTCCTTTATACTAATATCGGCTCCAAAATATCGTCTTGCATTTTCTCGGACATTTTGCAATACTGTGAATTGATCGCTTACGAACAGACTATTAGCACTAGCCAAATCAACATTAATGCCAGCTCTTTCAATAATATTATTATGTAGTGACTTATAATATTTCAATTTTTCCTCGTCTGAAAATGAGCTATTTTGAAAAATAGCCGAGGAAAGTTGTTGCTTTGACCGTCCGCTTGCTCCAATCATCAACAACAGAAACGCAGCCGTGATGCTATAAGGTGACATACATACACTCTCTGTTTTGTTAAATCCTTTATACAAAGATGCTGAGAACTTGATTAAACTTTGTTGAAAGTCAGGAGGAATATCACCCAACATAGCCAACAGATATTCTAATAGAGAAGAAAATATTATACTAAGGTAATCTTTACTGCAGACACCATTATATATAAAGAAATATATATGTACAGAAATGCAAATCCAATGTAAACATGAAAAAGTTTCGATCAAAATAATACAAGGTTTCTGCTCAAATGACCAATTTGGATTAACTGACTTCCGTTCTAAATTCGTAATGTATAAAATGTCATGGGGTCGCCAGTCGACAATATGAAAAAATGTTTTTCTTCTGACATACAATTGAAATAAACAGCTGCGCCGTGTCAACATGTTTGCCCGTCTTTATGCTTAAAACGAATTTATATGAAATACTGTGAACACTGCTCAAATAGACCCCCCACAAAGAAGAGGAACACAGTGGTACCCATTGACATAAAACATAAATAAGTTGGCACTATTAAGGCAACCTCAAGTTTAACTAAGTAAGTGGTCTCGATTTTTGAACAAATAAAATTCTATAACCGTCAAGTGTGAATAATTGACAGTTTTCAACGATTTTTGCAACGAATTAAGTTCCACAACTATGCAGTGTAATATCAGAAATACATAAAAAAAAAAAGGAACCTTATTTCAATGGATAAAAATAAGTCAACAAATGAAAACTGCTTAGAGCGTTTTGAGCTATTTTCAGAAAATTGGAAAGTTCTCTTTTTTTTAAGGCCCCAATGCTCCAAAACTTAAAAGTCAGAATTTTTTAAAAAATCGAAAGGGAACTTATGTAAATATATATAAACAATTCACCAAAGTTTCATGAAAATTCACTAAAGTTTCATGAAAATTGTACACAGAAATTTTGAGTTATAATCAGAAAACTGGAAAATCCCCCATTTTTCTATGAATAAAATCACATAACTCGGAAACGTTAGATATAAAATTTATGAAAATCGAAGTGGAGCTTACGTCAATAGACAGACACAATTCATTAAAGTTTAATGAAAATTGATGGAAGAGCTTTTGAGTTATTGTCCGAAGTGTTGACGATGGACAGGCGGACGGACAACGGTATTCCATAATACGTCCGATAACGGGCTTATGAATACAGGAAAGACCACCAAGGACATCCTGTTGTTCAAATCTCTCATTGCTAATTTGGCATTTCTCATTTCCAATTTTGTTTGTTCAAGGTTGACAATTCTTACTTTTAACATGACATTTTAAACTCTAACGTGACATTTCTCAGTTCCATGTTGGAATGCGGAAAAGTAAACTTTGAACTGAGAATTGTCAACTCGAAACTAAGAAATGTTTAGTTGGATCTTCGAAATGTCTACTTAATTGTTCCTACAAATAGCAAACAATCATTCAATATTCGACCTTCATCATCAGATTAATGTATTGTTGCTAAATCAATTATAACTATTATCATTATTATTATTATTATTATTATTTGGAAGTTAGAAATATGGAGATGGAAATGAAAAATTATCAAATAGAATGTCATTAAGATTCTTTCGTAGAGCTGTTTCCTGATGACTCCTTGTTCTCTTGTTAAAACAATAATCAAAAACACACTATATTTATTTTACTAGTTTTCTTTTTGGTTTTAACTGAAGTCAATGAAAATAACGCTGTATAAATTGTGTACGTCCGAATTGCCTCTCTTGATTCACTCACAATTAGTGCCTAAACTTAAACATTTGAAAGTCAGGGATCATGTCATATTATTGATATCATTTCCAACATAATTTCCTAATCGACAAATAGTAATTTTTTATATAACTATAATATGCAATATAATTATCCTAAGAACTAAATTACTCATCAATCATGATCAAAACATACCAATATCTTTCAATTTTATAAACTGAATCATGCAAAAAGAATAAAATTAAAATAACTTCCCCCATCAACAAATGTTTAACTAGAATTGATACTTAAGGATGTACTTAAGTGAAATTAGAAAAATCTAGAATTTGAAATTGATATTGTAAGTCAGAAGAGCATTAGTTAAGGAACAAAATAAGCTAAAAAATATTGATAGTTTATGGAACTCCTTTTGGAGGTTTGGTTTTAAAAAGTTGTCGGGAAAAGGCTGACTCAGAGTTTTACCTTATATTTGCATTGTAATTATTTGGGTCTCAAATCAAAAGAAAAGAAATCTAGAATCTGTTTTTTGTAAATTTTTGTAAATGACCTTTTATTTGCTATTGAAGTCTTATATGAAAAGACAAATGGGTGTTATGGGACAAAATATTTTACCCTGTATCGTAGAAAAAAACCAAGGAGTCCGAACATTTGACAAACATTCCTAAACCTCACCTAAGTACATCCTTAAGCCAGTCAAAGGAATCATGAAAATTGAATTGACTTATTTTTGCCAGTATTTGCCACATGATGAATATTGACCGAGCGTAAATACCACCGCTCAACCTTGAATTCGAGCGCCACTGATGAGTTTTGTTTAGACGAAACACATGTCTGGTTAACAATTTATCACCCTAGGGCCTGGTTTTCGAAAGTATCCCAAGATATGTGATAAGATATATCTTAGGACAAATTTTATTACCATCTTATGAATATCATATGATATGTCTTAGCACATACTTACAACTTCTCGTCCAATCAAATTGCCTATATTTGTCTTCTAATTTTCATAGTACATACGTTTCCTGTGTACTAAGTAACTACGCATGAATGACCATAAGGGTAAGATTTCATTGTATCGTAATCAAGATATTTAAAACAAAAATTGCCACTGGCTTTTTTTAAATAAAATGCTGTGTTCCAAATTAAATTAAATAGTTTGTAATCAGTTTTCACGTTGATTTTTAAATATCCTGCTATTAAAATCTTTGGATCTAAAAAATGATTTTGACAATTGCAAATTTTATCATTTAAATAAAGGGTAATACATATGGTTCTTTATACCTTGATTAGAGTACAACGATATCTTAAAATTATGATAATGTATCATCCATACAATTACTTTGTACACAGAAAAGTGTGTACTATGAAACCTTGTGAAGGAAAATAAAAGCAACTTGGTGATAATTTTTTAAACTTTCTTAAGGAAGGTGATATATTTTTGTCATGAATTGATTGATTGATTGATTATTGGTTTCTTAATGTCCAGTGGCAAATATTTCATGCATGTTTAGGACGATGTCATGAATTGAAAAACTGTGATTATGTCTGAAGATAATGTGCCACCTATATATATATATAAACATATTCTGATAAATATTTTAGTTTTTACTTTGAAATAATAAAAAAAAAAAACACAAAACACAAAACCTATAATCTCTGATCTATTGGTAGTTGCTTTTTAATGCCTATCTGCTAGACTATATCTATGGGGACAAACTATCTGTATGTTTTAAATTTATTATAGCTTTAGTTTTACTGTGAAATTAAAAAATGTTTTCAAAACATGTAAAGCTTCCACTGCAATTTAATTATTGCCTGCTTTTGGTCAATTTATTTTGTCATCTTACCTTGTAAGAAGAACATGTATAGTAAAACACCGCTTTATATCAGTATACATACTTACACCAGCAGCTACCATCTTTTCATTCTGGAGTGAAGAGCCTTTTGAAATCACATATTTTACAATGATCCTAGTGAGTAGATTTACAAAACTTCGTTAATGAGCTCCGTTTTACAAACACCTGTGATACAAGTAGTCAGCCAAAATAAACTATCAATAAACCAATTAAAAGATTACTCGAGTTGTAAATATGTGCTAAATTGGATAGTCTATGAAAAGGTATATACTATGAAATTAAGAGCTCGGGGCAAGCCCCTCGCTCTAAATTTCATAGTATATACCTTTCCATAGACTAACCTAGACATAGAATGTAAATCAAAGCTGTCCTAAGATAGTCATACATGTGAGCTCTCATGAATGTCGTAATTGAACATATTTTCTTGTATTTTAAATAACGATTAAAAAAATGATAAAAATGAGTATAAAAATAATAAGTATAAAGATACTAATTATTACCATTCTTATTATTTACGAATATTTTATTTTTTTCATTATGATGAACATCAAATTATATATGAAAAGTTATCAAAATCTGAGTTGATAATTTGTTTAAATTTAGTTTGTATATATAATAATCTCGAACTTCGCGTTCATGTATTATCATACATGAAGTGTTATTTAATTGTGAATACTTTTAAGATTCGGTACATCGCGTACCCGCTTAACGAAATGCCCGTTCAAATGCGTTATTAAAGTTCTGCATAAGGAAACAAATAATTAAGGTCTTTCCTTTTCCAAAAGGGAAAGACCTTACTGTATTTCTTCTGATTATTATTATTATTATTATTATTCTTTTTGTTCCGCCAAACTTTGACAAAATTTCCCTCCGTAACCGTAAGCCATGTCGCTTTCAGGTTCACACTTTGTATCGGTGTCACAAATACCTATCCGGAACTCACCCTGTGAGTCGTAAAATTTTGTCGGTCCGGAGTTATCCCTCCGAAACCTAAAAACCTTGTTATCATTCAAACACCGTAACCGTAATAGGTAGAAAAAAGGCAAAGGGTGAAATTTGTTCAGGACTAGACCCCGGTTCTTCGTTACATTAGGATCGAAAAGATTCAACGACTCATTGGTAGGGTTATGCCCCTTTGAAAATTAACCGGTGTCGGTTGGCCATCAAAACTCAGAAACCGTAAGTCGTAGACATCTAGGATCTTCACCAATGATCATCAATTCATGTGACTTTCAAAATGCCTCAAGGTCAAATTTGTATGTTGACCTTGACCTTTGACCTTACACCTTGTTATGGGATAATCTCAGAAACCATTATACTTACAGAAGTTTTGAATAGTGGAAAATGTTTGGGTCATTAAGGCGCAACTTTGTTACATTTTGACCGAAGAGATTTGACCTTTCTGTAAGGGGCATAACCCCTGTTTTAGGTTTCTGAAAAGACAAAATCAGCTTTTACTATATAACCAAAGGTCCTAGACCCATGGGGTCTTCAGCAATGACATTGGTGACTAATGACCTTGACAAAGGTCACAAGGTCAAAGGTC